GGCGACACGGAGGTGAAGGTGGTGGACCCGAAGACGGGGTGCGCGCTGGCCCCCGGGGTCAAGGGCGTCGTCAAGGCGCGGGGGCCGCAGGTCATGAAGGGCTACCTCAAGGCAAGCCCGCACGGACTCATGAGCACCGCCACCGCAGGCATGGGGTGCTGTCGCGCATCATCTGGGTCCATAGCCTTGCCGTAATCGCTGAGATGAGTCACGTCGGGCTCGATTCTTTGGGGCCATTTTATCCCCAATCAACAGGGTTGCCAGTTGAGTCCATACCTGAACACGGAAACCGAGTTCTTTCATGATCGATTACGGAGATTGAGTTGCTGCCTTCTTCTCTTAGAGTACCATAACATGGAAAGGCGGCGTGTTAGAGAACGGGCTCCTATTGTAGGTTGCGTGAATCTCATAATCCGGGGTCAGTGGGCCCATTCCCAAGGTGTTGAGAGCGGGTCTGCTCTCACGAAGTCCAGGGCCTTCCTATACCTACGCAAAGGCTTTGTCGAAATCGCGCCGCTTTTGTTGCCTAAACCCGTTCCTCCACCTCCTGTGCGTGCAGGACCCTGAGGCGACGGCGCGCGTGGTGGACCCGGAGGGCTGGTTCGATACGGGCGACCTGGGCTGGCTCGCGCCCGCCAGCCGCAGCTGGGCCGCCAGGAACTGCCGCGACGTGCTCGTGCTCGAGGGCCGCTCCAAGGACACCATCGTTATGTCCACCGGTGAGCCGCACTGCAGGAGAACGAGAAGAGTGCAGCACATCAGCGCACAATGGCACCATAACGGCCCTTGCTTGGGACTCGTATGGTCCTGCTTGTTAGTACAGCTTTCAGCACAGTGAGTGCATGCGGGGCTCCAGCTTGGTGCGCGTTGTGAACGCTGGCTGGTCGGGTGTGCAGGCGAGAACGTGGAGCCTGCGCCGGTGGAGGAGGTACTGCTGCGCAGCCCGCTCGTGGCGCAGGTCATGCTCGTGGGCAACGACCAGCGCCGCCTTGGCGCGCTCGTGGTCCCCGCGCCCGACGAGCTGGCGGCGCACCACCCGGACGCGCCCCCGCCCACCGGGCAGCAGCTGCAGGACCTCATCCGGAAGGACCTCAACCACTGGTGAGTAGCGCAGCGATCCTTCATGGCCGCTGGGCGCGTCCCCCTCCCTTCGGACCTGCAGCCTGCTCAGCCCGCGTGCCTCTCTCACGTGCCATTCGGGGCCGCCTGTTCTGACGCCCCCCTGTGCTGTGGTGCAGCCTCGCCCAGGGCAGCTTCCACGCCCACGAGAGGATTGGCCCCGTGGCCATCATTGACGAACCATTCTCGGTGAGACACTCGCGCTCTCGCACATGTCCGCAGCCTCGTCTGCTGATTGTACAAGCGCGTGCATCTCTGCTTGTCACAAGGTGGCTTGGAGCCGAGCACGCCGGTCGGGCTAGCCGTCTTGGGTGTTTGGTGTTGCATCACATGCTCCTCCGTACACCTGTGTGAGCCCCGCCTCTTTCCCCTCTGCTGACCTCGTGCGTCGGCCAGGTCGAGAATGGGCTGCTGACGCCCACGATGAAGATGAAGCGGGACGTAATTGCCACCAAATATGCGGCCGAGATTGCGGCCCTGTACCAGAAAGCGTGAGGCGCGTGGTGTACGCTAGGCGAACTGCCGCGCAGCGCAGCGGATCTGAGACACGTGAGGGCTGAGCCACCTCTGCCGCCCCTGTGGACCTGTACACTACCCAGCCGCCGCATGGGGGCAGCGCGGGATAGGGTTGGGCATTCTGATGAGCACTGGATTCGAGCTATGTACGTGACTTACCCGGATTGGGCATATTCTGAGATCTTAATGCAAAGGTGATAATTTGACAACGCCCCATGTGCGGCCGCAATCGCAGTCAATATCTTAGGATGGAAGGCGGCCAGAGCTGGTTTATGTACGCAGAAATAAAGGACGAAACAGCTTTTGAGCCCACTAGAAATATGCAGTGCAGATAGATACGTATTAGAACCAGAGTTACTTTGCCATTCTATCAGGTATTTTGCATTCATGGTACATGATTACGTCACAGGTCCAACAACATCCTTACTTAGACGTACCTGCCACTCGAGTAGGTATGCGTTCATTGCACACGATCAAGCTGAACTCTGCGTTGCTGACCATAGGTTCCGACTAGCTGTTCGGGCCGGGACCGACGTTCCAGAATTTCGGGCATATGTTGCATGATACGCGCTATCAAGTCTAAATGACGCAGTCTAGGTTCGCGTCAATTGCAGCCTCATGCATGAATCGTTCCGTGACCGTGCATTGCTCCGAAGGATCTGTCGTAGTAACCTCATGCTACATTGCGATCGTAGAAGTTAATAGAGCATGCATGGACATGGATAGCGCTAAGACTAGGATCGCTACAGCAACCTACTCAACCGCGCCAGGAGAATCTAGTTGGCAGCCCAGGTCACTAGCTAGCCTTAGCCAGCTGCATCCGGCTTTGAACAATGCATCAAAACATGCGACCATTGATGCCAGCAACAGATTGGCGACTGGTGTACGAGATAAGCTGCGTGCCAATAAACCTACTATGAAGCTACGAGTGTTTCAGATCCAGTCAAACACGTTGCACCACACCAGCCACACAAAATCTAGGGCTAATAAGACTTGATTGGCGTGCAGGTTCACTAAAGACCAGCCTCAGGCTAACTAACGGCAACCCTTGACAACACAGAGGATGAGCTGATCCTGAACTTTGAATTACCGGCTTGCTGGGCGCATCCATGCGAGCTCTGTCTCCTTTACAACTATGAGCGCTAACTACTGTTACAAGTAAATCACAAAAATTCGCAGGCATGGTTAGTCTCAGCTGTTTGTCAGCGGAAAACGTGCATTTAATATCATCGCAAAACTTTTGGGGTCGCCAAGGTCGATGTCCGAACGATCAACTTGTCAGATGCAAGTTTCCACTTCCAGTGGTAGCCGTTGAATGACGGCAACTGTGTAGATCACCAGCCGAGTACCTGGCACAGAGTAGACACATAAGATGTAAGCGCTGAGAGCAGCCCACAACGAGCGCGTTCCCTCTCCCTACTGATCCAGCTTCGTGCAGTTCACGAGCAAGGGCTACGGCACGGCCCCCGGCGACGACAGGGGCCGGGGCGTGGCTCACGTGGGTCTTTCTGTTGTTGGCAATGTGGACGGCGTGGTACGCGATGCGCAGCACGAAGAAGAGCGTCAGGCAGTGCCAGACGCCGGGCAGGCCCCATCCCGCGGCCCACGCCGTGCGCAGGGCGGCGCCAACGCCCAGCATGTTCAAGAACTGCATGCGGGGCATGTAGCCGTAGTCACCTGCACCATAGCGAACGTACTGAGACGCAGGTTATTCAAGGCATCGATACCCGTGATTACGTATGGTTAAGTACACTACGCTTGTGATATGCGGGTCGACCAGTGCGGCCTTGAGGCGGTGCGGGCCGCGTGTGCCTCTCGTGTCAAGCATGCCGCACCTGATCCGATGGCGACCCCGTCCAGCACGACGGCCAGCGCGCACAGCCAGCTGCACACCGCGTTCTGCGCCGACACGGCCACCACGCCGCGACGCACCGCCACGTCGGCGGCCAGCACGTGGCCCCACACGCGGGGCACAGCCCACACGACCACCCCCAGCACCAGCCCGATGCCACAGCCGGCCCACAGCAACATGCGCGCCATGGCCCGCGCCCGCTGCACGCACAGGACAGCACCCACAGTTGGAGGCCCCACGGCAGAGGGAGCAAAACCCCTGGGCCCAGCGGGAGGGCAGCAATCAGACGGCCATCCAAGTCGGCTGCTGGCAATAGGGTTGAGCGGCATGATGACCTCCAGCACGGGGAGCAGCACAACAGCGTTGCGGCACGCACCTGCGGCTCGGCAGCGAGGTCGCGGGCCACCAGAGACTGCGCGCTGATGGACAGGGGCTCCGGGAAGTACGACAGGAACCAGAAGAGCTGACGAACGGGAACAAAGAACGGCGTCAGCCGGACAACAGGCGGGCCACGAGAAGTAAGCCGTGCGAGTGCAGGGCAGATGGACGCGGCGGAGCCAGCTAGGACGCACCAGAGTCGAGCGCCACAGCTGAACAAGAAGGAGAGCAGGAGACGAGGTCGCTGGACTGGGCCGCCCCGGCACCGACCTGCATGGACACCTGGTGGGCGGCGATGTGCAGCGTGCCCAGCGAAGTGGCCGCGTAGGCAAGCAGGGTGTACACCACCTGCACGCAAAGCAACGCACTGCAAGATCGAGGAGGGGAACGAGCTGGGCCCTTGGGGTCAAATTCGGGGAGAGGGGGTAGTTTGGTGACCGAGGGGGGCCGTAAGAAGATTGTATGAAGTAAGCTATGCGTCAGGTGCTTGCAAGTGCAGGGCAAAAAGCAAGGAAGCAGACGCGACTGCTGTTGCTGAAAGGTTCGGCGACACGACTACATACGTCCGCACGGGAAGGAGTCGGAACATGTCGTCTGCAAGCTGGGGAACATCCTGAAATCAACACAGGAGCGCTCTAGCAAACAGCTCGAGGAGCGGCGGCTGGAAAAGGCATCTCCTTCGCCCCAAGCAAACGCTCGCAGTCAGCTCGACTTTTGAGGAGGACGAACTCAGCGTCAAGCAGCTGACGAGAAGGTGCGGTTGGGCGTGGTCGGCCGGGTCAGCTTCCACTTGATCCTTGGCAGCACCAGATTCTGTGGTGGTCAATCACAGAGCCCTCACCATGCCACACAAGCTGCGCATCACCAGCGTTCCCCCGACCCCCGCCAGTGCACGCATTTCCTCATCAGACGGCCAGGCGCCCCACTGAAGGCGGAAAGGGGGACCCACTCGCCGCACGCGCCGGGGAGCTCCTTTGGTCCGACCCCCTGGTGCAACGCCTGCCCGAGGGTCCGCAGGCGAAGAGGACGCCTGGTCTGGCGAGGGGATGGCCCCCGCAGTAGGGGCGGGCAGCAGAGGCAGCCTGTCGGCCAGAGTGTAGAGGAAGACGGCCGCGCCGCAGTACTGCGCAACCACGGTGGCCCATGCTGCACCGCGCACTCCCCTATGCCCAGAAAAACGAGACACCGTGTTCGTACGAGGAGCAGCTCGCGTGTGGCTGCGGAGCAGAGAGTTCAGGAGAAGACACAAAGAAAGGCAGAGCAGGGAGCAGGTCACGATACTGAGGCGGCAGGCGGGGGGGGAGGCGGGGCGCACCAGCGCCAGTGCAGCGTGAGCAGGATGTCGCCCACCACGTTGAGCAGGCCCGCGCCAAGGAAGATGAACAGCGGTGTGCGCGCGTCCTGCAGGGAAACACCAGGCAAAGGGGCGGCAGGGTGTCAATCGGCGCACTCCCGACAGCCTGCAACACAGCCGTCACAGCATCCCGTGGTCGTGCACACAGCATACCACTAGTGCCGCATCAGCCACCCTGCCATCCCAGCTGCTCTCAAACAATAGGGTGTAGTGCCTGCGTTGTGCTTTGAAGTGGCGCTGGCCGGGCAGGCGCAGCGGGGGGGCTCACCTGGCAGCCCAGGCAGGCGCCCTGGCCCACCACCAGAACCAGCACCGCAGGCGCTGCACACACACCCCCACGAAGTACACAGGTGAAACAGGGACCTCAAGCTAAGGAAGAGGGACCACCCCACCGCTGCGATCCCCACGAAGACAAGGGCTCAAGACGGAAAAGACAACGTTTCAGCTACAATTTTCATCTTCATGTCCCACAGGACGTACAGGTGTGGCAAGAGCAGGTCCAATGGGGGGAGGCTACCTGAGAGCGCACGGATGCGCAGGTAGGCCAGGCCGGGCCCCAGCAGCTCGGGGGATGCGCCCATGGCGCGCAGCAGGGCCACCCCCTGCCACTCCAGGACAACCAGCGCCAGCACACCCAGCAGGAGCGCCAGAGTGAGGGCCACACTCAAGGTACGCGCAGCCTGGCAGGAACAGCAGCAGCAACGCAGTCAAGGGCCCGAGGGTGGCCGCCCACACAGCTGCCACTGCCACCGTGACTGCCACTGCCATCGTTTTGTGGGCAAGCTTAACTGCAGACCACATGGGGCATGTTCTGACTCGGCTTTGCATGGCATGGGAAGCTGTTGGAGGGGGGGGGGCGCTTGGGAGGGCATACCTTGTGTTGCGCAGCTGCGGGGGTCCCGCTGCCACTGGCGCTGAGGGATGCCAGCATGCTGGTGGTGGAGATGCCGAGGAAACCAAACACCTGAGAGCACAAGGCAGGGGGATGGAGGGGGTGGGGGGTTGGGGGCATGGGGGTGCTTGTTGCAGGGAAAAGGGCAACACAACCATGCTAATATTGTGGCGAGGCGTGGAGAATGCGAAGAGGGCGAGCCAGGAGGAGGGTAGCGGCCTACCTGAAAGACGAAGTTGAAGATGGCGGTGTTGGGGCCGAGTGAGGCGAGTTGGACGGACCCAATCTGGCCCACGCAGCAGCTGTCTATCAAACTCATCAGGGGATCCGCCAAACTGCACGGCACACCGCTCAGTGGGCAAGACGGGGGCTGCGGGGAGGGGGGTCACGCTGAGAAGAGACTGACAGCCACAGACCTGTGCATCATCAATGTTGTGAAGTTGCAAGCCAACGCCCACGCAACTGCTGCATGGCAAAGGCAGGGGCACTGACAGGCGGCCTCACCAGGAGCCGAGGGCGGGCAGGGCCAGCTGGCGAATCTCAGCCAGGATGCTGGCGGTCAGGTCCCCTGCACACAACACGTCAGTCTAAGAGATATGTAAAGCAGAGATCACCTTGGACATAAGATGCAGAAGCTGCAAGATCCTGCATTGCACCAGTGGTGACCTTCAATGGCACCAAGGGATTGTAGGGTGCAAATGCAGAGGCAGCCGATCGTCTTGCCTTCTCGCCCGCTGACTGTTGCAGCTTCCGGCCCTGGCTCTGCGAGTGCACCCTCAGGAGAAACCCCTTGACCCCCAGCATGCCCATTGGAAGTGGCCGGGGGGCACTCTTCTTGCAGGGGGCCTCCGATGTTCTGGTGAATGATGCGGGGGCCTCCCACTGCGTCAGAAGCTACCAAAAGGGGGTCTGTATCGTCCTCAGATCTGAAACTTGCTGCGCTCAGTTGCCCTTGGATGTCTGCTGGCCCAGCCTACGATCGATGGAAACCCCAGGGTCATTTAGAGGACTCGCAGATTGTATGGGGACCACCAGCACACACTCAAATGCCTGGCACATCCAAATCAGATCAATGCTGGCTGCCCACAGGCAAATCATTGACTTCAAGGCAAACGGTTGCAATTAGTTGAAACAACCTCATCAAGCAATTTTCTTCCGGCCATTCCAGCAAAATGGGGTGCGCTCACCTCTTCCCCTGCCGCAGATGCCGCATTGCAGTGCCAGCCTCTGCCAGCTAGCGGCGACCTGGAGAAGGATGCAGGGAAGGGCAGCGCCGAGGCCCAGGGGCGAAGAGGCTCTGCATTGTACTGCGAGAACCGCCCGCGGTCACCTGCCAATGCTGATGTTGTGGGCCTCGACAAGTGAAATGCCGCAGCTGGCGTTGACTCCGTGCCTGCAGCTACAGGTGAACCACTCGTCCTCCTGCTGGTGCTTGCACGCAGGCAGGGCGATGCTACCCAATGTGCTGCGACCTCCATGCTGCCTTGCTGCGAAACAATGTGCAAGACGAAAGTCGCTTGCTCTGGCAGCCTCTGGCAGGAAGCGCTGGGACCAGTGGGAGAGCTAGGGTTCCAAAACTCAGAAGAATCAGGTCCTCCCCAGGTCCGAGTGGGATCCCTCTGAATTTGAAATCAGCATCCTGCCAGGTTTTGTTGCGAGAGAACCCGGGCAAACTACTAGTACTAATTGAACTTTGAGCAGTTCTTTGAGGTCTTCGCATGCAGCAATTCGACCGGGGGCAAAGGCAAAGGCAAAGGCAAGCCGATGTCACAAATTGGCAATCAAAATACCATAGCAAAGGTGTTTCTGTCTCCAAGTGGCTGGTTTTTCAAGGAAACCCTTGGTGCATAGCTCAGAATTGTGCTTTCTCTGATCGCGCGCTTTCTTATATCTAATTTGTCGTAGCCCCGAAAGGCCACATTTTTCATAGACAGACGTGTCCTTTTGCATTTGATGCCCAGTATGGCCGCCAGTCCAAGGACAACCAAGGGAACAACCGCAGGTAGGTGCATCAGCTGAAGTCCACAGCTGGGGTGCATATGTGGCGGAAGACTATCGCACCACCAGAGATTCCCCAAGCTAGATTGAAAATTGAAAGCAGAGTGGTCAGTCCGTGAGCCAGCTTTTTCCAATTCCTGCCGGTGGTTTGCATTGCCTCTGAAACCCGGGTTGCTGTTGTGTGGGTTCCCAATCCACCCATTTTCCAATTTGCTTTTTCTTAAAACCCTGTGCAGGCAACCAGAGGACTTGCACAGGAGAACATAGAAGCTGTGCACTGTCTTTTTAGCCCTTCCTTCCAGGATGGTGGCTGTCGATTGAGACCTGAGAATTGCCTGAAGCCCTTGCTGATTGGTTCTTATTTCCTGCAGGGGCGGAGAATGAGGACGTGCTTGCGGGGCGCAGTGGCAGGGTGGCGGGGAAGGCCCACGACCAAGCTCCTCTTCTGGAGGCAGGCCAGGGTGGCGAGAGAAGCTCAGCAGCGCCAAGTCACTCTTTCACCATTGTGGCGGTGCTCATAGCGGCGCTGGGCCCGCTCTACTTTGGGTACTCGGTGAGCAGGAGGGGGGGGTATCTCTTGCTAAGTGACTTTGGCTGGCCAGCTCAATGACTTTCTGCTGCCGCCTAAGTCTGCGCTTGTCTTGTCACGCAGATACGCAGATAGTAGTGTATTACAAAAGCGTGAACTGATCAGCGCGCCTTCCTGCTTTGCCCCTCGTCCCAGCTTGGCTACACGTCGCCGGCCCTGCCCGCCATTGAGAGCCAGCTGGAGCTGACCACCGGGCAAGCAAGCTTCTTCGGAGCACTGGTCAACATTGGAGCAATGATGGGGTGCGCTTTCTCGGGCCAACTCTCCTTTCATCATGCATCTGGTGTCCCTTTCCATTGCAGCGCTGGCTCAGTGCTGACCAGGGATCTGTTTGGGGGCAAGAAGGATACTTTGATGGACAAGGGAAGTTTGCAATCGGTGGACAGGGGAGGGTGGTGTTAGCCTGGGGATTGTTGCTACTCCGACTCTGGGGGTTTAGGTTCCATCTATGAAGCCTGGGGTTCTGATGGTCAAAGGGTTCGGTTTTCTTGTGCTGTTCAGTCTTTATGAGCTGTGATAAGATAAGCCTGGGCCGGCTGCTCAGTTCGGCCAGGTGAGGGAACCTTCTCCACACTTTGATGAGTCATGGATCTTGCAGCACAACAGGCCTCGCATCTTCTCCAGACTTATCATGCGCTGGGGATAAGTACATGTGATTTGCAAGCCTCGTGACAGAGACCTCCACAACCTCAGCCACTGGAAAGCAGTCATGATTTTGTGTTGACCTAGAGGGTAGCGAGGTGAGCCCTTGTCACGCATTTGCAGGAGCCTCAGTTCAGGAGCGGTGGCAGATGCAATTGGGCGCAAGGGAGTGAGTGTTGAGCCACTGAACCTGTGTCCTTCCTGTTTGTACCTGGCTGTCATTGACATGCCTGCTGCGGCACGTAGTTATCTGAGGCTCCCGTGCAAGTTTGCGCGGTTGCGGCCTTGAGCGTACACCTGTGCACCGCACTCAGGGCGCCTTCACGTCTGAATGCTTGTTTCATCCGCACCTGCAGCGCCGCAAGCTTGGTACTGGCTATCTGAAGTCTTCTTAGCGAGCTTCAGGGTCGGGCAACTTTTTGTTCGCAGTGCACCCTGTCTGAGCCGCCTCCTTGCCTGCCTCATGCGCGTGCCGTGCCCCGTTGCAGGTGCTGGCGGTGGCGGCGTGTCCTGGCGTCCTGGGCTGGCTCATCATTGCCCTTGCGCAGGTACGCCCACTGCCCGCTCACCTCTCAAGGACGAATGTGTGTCTGCGGTTGCGTCCAAGTCTCCTACTTCGTGCACACTCTGCAGTGAGGTCCTGCACATGGGCCCATGCATAGTGCTGGTGCTGCGTCTCTCACTCTCCCAGTTCCCCCGTGCCCCGGCCCTGTTGCCTGCCCCCACTGCCTGCCTCAGCTGGGCCTTTTGTCGTACTGTGCAGGACCCTCTGGCACTGTATAGCGGCCGCCTGCTCTGCGGTTTTGCCACAGGGACCTTCTCCTTTGCGGTGGGTGCCCTCTTTATTTTGCGCTATGAGCCCCTCATCAAGCTTGGCTGGACGTTACAGCTCTTTGCATCAAGCATGCCATCCGGTACCAAATGCTCCGATAATGATTCCCGATTCGATTGACAACAAGCAGGTATCGGACGGCTCAGTATCAGCAACCAGCCTCGAATAGTCTGGAACCCGATGGCAAGGTTGATGCAAACAGCTGTATTTGCAAAGATCCAAGGAACCCAAGGTGGTCTGCAAGTTATCGCAGATACTCCCCTGAGTGCCTGAAGAGGGCGGCCCTGCCGTGCGTGGTGTTGGTGCAGGTGCCCATTTACATCGCTGAGGTGTCTCCCAGCCACTTGCGCGGCGGCCTGGGTGCCGTCAACCAGCTGGGGATCACAATCGGGATCGTGCTGGTCTACGCCCTCGGCATGCTCATCCACTGGCGCACTCTCGCCTTCATCGGTCAGTGCCAACCCCTCTTTCCGCCCCCTACCCCTGCTGCGCCCTGCCGCCCCCTTGGTTCCTCTGCCCCGCCTGCTCCTTGTTCCCCGCCCTGCGCGCCTCGCCTGACTGGCCGTGTGGGGGTGTGCTGGCAGGCGTGCTGCCGATGGGCGTCCTCCTGCTGGGCCTCACCGTCCTTCCCGAGAGCCCGCGCTGGCTGGTGAGCCCCAAACCCCTCCATGCTGCCGCACCCAGAAGGGGGGCCAGTCTGCCAGGGTCGAGCGCAAATGAGTCACTCGCACTGGATGGCGCTGCTGCATGTAGGGGCTCAGCCCAGCCATCATGGGGGCCCTGCCATCAAGTAATGGTCGGATTGCTATGGGTACGTCCTGCTGGTGGGACTGAGTATGACACGAACCTCTGTCCAGGCGAAGAACGAGTACCAGGCGCGCCTGGTGGCGGCCCTGCGCCAGCTGCGGGGAGCGGAGTGCGACACGCGTACCGAGATGCAGGAGATCCAGGTGAGCCGCGCAGGCACCACGGGGGCAACTCTCGGCCGCCACCTCTCCGCTGCCCCGCTGGGCGTGCCTCGCCTTGGCGCCCCCGACTTGCACCGGAGTTGTCCTCTGACCCGTGACTGTGGCTGTGCAGGAGGCGGCTCGCCAGTCGTCTGCACAGCCGCGCGCCACGCTGCGGGACCTGTTCAAGCGAGACCTCACGTGGCCCCTCGTGGTAAGGGCCGCTATGCCATGCCCAATGTCTGATTGAAAGGTGCAACATTCCCTGCAGAACTTGTTCGCATGTCGTTTGCTCAGCCAACATTGGCTTGCGCACCCTTTCCCAGGAACCGGCTGCACCGAGGCCTCTTGGGTCCGCCGTCCGATGCTCGTTGGTGCTGATGCGCGCGTGTGCCTGACGGTGCAGGCGGGCGTGGGCCTGATGGTGCTGCAGCAGTTCTCGGGGGTGAACGCCGTCATGTTCTACAGCGGCACCATCTTCCGCGCCGCCGGGGTCCACTCCGCCGACGCGGCCGCCTTTACCTGCGGCCTCCTCCAGGTCAGCCGCCCCCGGGAAGCGTCTCATCGTGGAGCCCCAGGCATCGTGTGGGGTCAGTGAGGATGCCTGCACACTAGGGATGGCTCTCGCACCCTCGCTCCTGCCGTGTTTCTGGCGCGGGCCGGAGTGCCAGGTCTCACGTCCGGCCTGGCTGGCGTGTGCAGGTGTTCATGACGGGGCTGGCGGTGTGGCTCATGGACAAGGCCGGGCGCCGCCTGCTGCTCATGGTGAGCCACGCGGAAGGATGGGGCCTGATGAGCATAGCGGCCCTCGCCCGGGACTTTTTTAGCGGAGTTGACCGCCTTAGTTGATTTCGCGAGTCCGAGGAGGCCGGACGAGCTGCAAGATTTTTCTTATCTATCTCTGTCCGCTTACAATTGATCGCTGCCGCAGCAAGATTCTGCTTCGGCTCGAGAGTGCTTCTTTTAGGCGGGGCATCCCAGCTGGTTGGGTGGTATACTGCGCGCCGGCTGCAACCTGAGAAGCACGCATCAAGGATTTGCGTTGGACTTTATGCAGGTACTCCTTTCTGTTGGTGAAGCCTAGCGTCGTCTCATTTTCCTTGCTCTGCCGCCCTGCCGCTGAGTGGTGCTGTGCGTGGGGGTGTGTGCAGGTGTCGGCCGGGGGCATGGCCGTCAGCAGTGCGGCGCTGGCCTACTCCTTCTGGCTCCCGCCGGGCAGCCTTGCGGCCAGCTACCTGGCCATCGCCAGCCTGCTCGTGAGTGCCCGCTCCACGGGGACCGCCCCATCTCGGCACGAGCGGCCCGACCAGTCTCGCGTAGACCCTAAAAGTCATTGTGCCCAGCGGCCGCGGCACTTTGAGCGGCCAGCCACGTATCTGTTCGCACCTCCTTAACGATCGCTGGGCGAAATATCAGGCTGCTCCTCTGGCAGCCGCACACAGGAGAAGGACAGCCTGTGCAGTGTCTAAGCAGACCAATGCATTGAGAACCTGCGGTCGCGGGTGCCCGTGCATGCGTGTGTGAGCGCGTGGCTTCGCTGGGTGGCAGGTGTACATCGCGGCGTTCTCGCTGGGCATGGGCGCCGTGCCGTGGATCATCATGAGCGAGATCTTCCCGGTGCACGTGCGCGGCCTGGCCGGCAGCTGCGCCACCCTCGTCAACTGGACCGCCTCCTTCACCGTCACCCAGACCTTCCAGTACCTCCTCCTCTGGAGCGCGCCCGGTGAGGCCCCCCACGCAGGCCGCCGCCCGCGGGCCCGCACCTCCGCGGCCTCTCGCAGCACAGCCTGCACCGTGCTTGGCCTTCACCATCGCGCATTGACCTCGGTGACTCGCCACGTCGATGCAGTGCTCGACCGCTTCGCCGCATTGCTTACGGTGTGACGCGTTTGTGTGCCGCTCTGCAGGTGCCTTTCTTCTTTACGCTGTCGAGTGCGTAGTCACGGTGTTCTTCGTTTCGTACTTTGTACCGGAAACGCGGGGAAGGACGCTGGAAGAGATCGAAGCCTCTTTCAAAACACTGTAGCCGCTGCCAAACAGGTGTACCAAACAACGATTAGTGGGGTATTATGCGAATCCTCGTCTTCTTATTTCCGTGCACGACACCAATTGATTAAAGAAAGGATCGTTGGTCTGGCTGTCGCACTTGTTTCGCCCCGTGTCGATGCTGTTGGCAGCTAGCTTTCACTGACAGATGGAGGCTCTCATGACCAACGTGCAGCCGGACAGGTGCAGGCCACCTTTGCTATCTGCATTAAAAGCTGCTGGTAGGACATGCCGCATTCATCATGGATCTTCCGGTGCAATTGCCTGCCGTGTCTCTCGAGCTAATCAATCAGTGCCTTCGACTGTGTCATTTGCTAACTGATCATTCCTTAGTTATTGTCGCCGCATAAACAAGCAAGCTGCTCTTTAGATAGGCTGAGGCTGCCATGGTGAAGTTTAAAACTGACCATGGTGATGATTGTTAGTAACGAACATGTTGTACGCATATATCTATCGGTCGCTGTCATGCTAAAACGTTCTTGTACATGGATAGCGTGAGCGAAGTGGCTCTGAGTGGGCTTCACAAGTAAGGTCTAGATTGAATCAGTTGCGCCGGGAACCCATGTAGGCTGAGTCGTGGAGGTACGTCATCTTGCTATAAGCAAGATCCAGATACTCTCGGCTACAATCGTTATTATACTTTCAAGTTCCGTGCGCATGCCACTTGAATCTTGAGAGGAAAAGTGAAAAAGCACTTGGCTTTTGAATATTATCAATGGCAAATGAACTAGCTGTGTGATACCATTTTGACACTGTGATACCATTTTGAGTCCTTCTTATAGGCTGTACGCAACCCTACAGCTCATACAACTCATATTCGCCATGCAGCTTGCACCCTTTTGATCAGGCAAGGCATCCCCAGCAACTCCGGTGTCCACCATTTGGCATTCAAAAACAGCAACAACACATGTTAAGAGTAAAACAATCAACATCAATGATCGTATCTGGTCAGGAATACAAAAGATACGGGCAATAGAATGCAAGAGCTCAAGAGGGGGTGGCCAAGCCAATATATGAAAGCCAAACCAGATTTGGGAGCTGTGACTAAGGTACTAGCATTCTATAGCATACTATGTGACGATCGCCAGAGATGTACAGCTCTTTGCGTAGAAAACCTGCCGAGAACCTGCCCTCTTGAATTCAATCCAAGTTCGCCGATCCACGATCCCAATTGCGGTTTGATCATTCATCACGACGATCTTGCGACTACACTCTAATTATGGACGTACGAAGATTCGACGAGCCTACGAATGAACGCAAAAGATTTTTTTGGCATGTAAATTGGGCTCAGTACTTCCGCGCGGTCGAATAAGCGGAAGTAGTAGTTGGAAACATGAAATATTGCGCACCTATATTTCGTAGTCGACTTTCTAAGCATTCGGGGGGTCCCGATTGCAAGATCGTGTAGCGATGAACTTTTGTGATCGCGGACCGGTGAAATGGTCAGACGGTTGCGGGTGGCAAGCTCGTGGCACGCTCGTGGCGAGTTACAATGTGAGTCTCTTCAATTTAGCAAAAGGAAGCTCTAGCAAAAGTATGCGCCGACATTGACACTAATGCACTAACAACCTCACCACAAAATCACCTACTCCGTACCCTTTAACCCACCCTAAACCCCCAAACTAACCCCACCCATCCCATGCTATCAATAATGGCTTATAATAAGGCTTATAATATATGCTTCTGCTCTTCGACCGTCTCTTCGTCAAGTTTCACGCGAACAGCTGTAGGCTCGCAAAGGCGCGTCGACGCTTCGAAGTAGCACATACCGTCGATTTAACATGGAACAATCATCACCGTCGATGGTTTCTGAGTCCAGAATTTGAGTGCGTCGACGAGCGCGCTTTAGAGTTTGTTATGGGCAATGATTGGCCAGCCCGCCTGAGCCCACTTGACCAGGCTCCAGCTCTGACTCGCTGCGGCTGAGCCTGCAGGGCTTGGATATGGCCCATGGCAATGCTGCATCGGGTTGTGAATGTGGGCTGTGCAGTGTGCACATTCACTTCATCTGGACCAGCGTTCAGCCTCCTTAATTTCCTGAAGGAGGAAGGGGAAGCAGCGGTTGGCCCTGCTTGCGGTCAATCAAGGAAATGTGGCCGCCATTGATATCTGCGCAGCCATGATTTTGAGTTGGCGCATTGCAACTGGCCTGGAGCGCTGACTATTGAAGCCCCTCACAAGGGTTTTGGTCAGGAATCCCGGTATTTGTAGGTGATAGGTACCTTCAGCTGGCTCAGAGCAAGTTATTACAGCTGAAAACGGTGTGTAATACAAGGTGGTCTTCAGCACGGTGCTTCTTCTGCGGTAGCCAGAAGGCTGGCCCGGTTGCAAGCTGTGTCCCTGATGGACGCCAGCACCCACGCTGCGACCGGCGGGAGCACCTTGGGGCAGCTGCCCCAGAGCTTGGAGCAGCTCAGGTAGGCGCTGCTGCTTGGCCGGGCTAATATCGCAAGTATTGCACAGGTTCTGAGCGGAGTAGTCCACAACACTTGGAAGAAGGCCGCTGCATCTGCAGCCGGCCGCATCCTTGTAACAAGAATAGGAGATATGGAGTTGCAACTGGGTGGGCGAATCTGAACATTTGACTCATGGTGCTGTATAAAGCTTCAGTTCACAATTTGTTATTGGGGCTCTATTGGGGCTCTGATGAAGGACGTGGTTTCTTTCCTGTTCTTGAAGTTGGGTTTAATAGTGCGGATCCATCCCTCGAAGTTCAGCTTTCGAAATATCCGTATATCATGAGTTTGACCACATTATGCTGAGGGGAAACGTATCTGGTGAAGCTGCAGCTCGTTGGCAGTCTCCGCTGCTGTAAGTTTGCTTGTGCAGGAGTTCGAGTCAGCGTAGTCATGTTGGGACTGCTCTTTTCCTTTGGCGTTTGTCTTGACAGACCCTGCTGCTGTGCTGTCTGTCTTTTGGCCCATCTTTGTCATGAGTAGGCTCTGGTGGTCGCTCGATTGTGCCAGGGATAGAGTCTGCCGGTCTGAGCGAGCACCTAGAAAGCCCTGATCTTCCTCTTTGTGCAGGTTCCTTGCGGGGACTCTCCAGGGTGGGGCCGCCCCGCAGCCCTGGCTCTCGGCATTGGCACAGGTGAGCACGCGCCGTGGAACAGGCGCGGGGCCTCTGACGGCTTCATTTGGAGCCCAGCCCAGCGATTCCTTTGCGCTCAGCCCTTGCACGGCCTCCCTTAGGCCCCAGGGTTCGCTCTCCCCCCCTGTTCTCCCCTCTGATGGCTGCCTGCTGCTACCCCCAGATGGCGGATGGCCAGGACACGCTGCGCCTCTGCTTCAACCTCGCCCAGGATGCAGACGCCGACGTCTTCTACCAGGTACACCACTCTGCATCCACACAGTGACTGCACGGAGTCACCCGGGCAACCCTGAACTGCAGCATCAGTGGCAACCTTCTCCACTTCTCCAACAGTGTTGCTCTGATCCCCATTGTCCCTGTCCTGCCAGGCTGGCCCGCTGTCCCATCGGGGATCCCTCCCGGACCAGCCTTGCCTGGCTGACGGTGATGCTCCTTGTGCGTGTCTCTGCGCAGATTGTGTTGCACACCCGCCACCCTCTTGACGTCAACATGTGCGATGCCGCCTTCAGCCCCCCCGCTGCTCGCACCGTGCTGGCTGCCCTGCGCCTGGCCGGCCCTCGGTTGCGCGCCGTGTGCCTGCGCGGCACCTGGCTGGGGCGCAGCAGCGTCAAGGCGCTGCTGCAGGACGGCCTGGCGTGCACCAGCCTGGACCTCAGCGCGTGCCGCAACCTGCGCGGCAAACTGGGCCTGGGGCCCAGCTTCGCAGTGCTGACCACCCTCGTGCTGGACGCCAACCCCGGCATCCAGAACCTCACGCAGGTCAGTACGCAGCCCACGCGCGCCACGCAGTCTACCAGAGTGCTGCCAGGCCCCTGAAAGACAATGCCCGCCCCTACCGTGCACTGCATTGACATCCACCTCGATCACTGTTGAGTTGACGTGCTTCGTACAATGCCCTCTGCATTTCAGACAATTTCCTCGGTGGCCATGTATCCGCTGCTTGTTGGCACAGTACCCTTGGCCAGCTTTTGCGCTGTGCTAACCATATGCTTCTCCCTCTCCCCCCCCCCTCCACAGGCCTGTTTCCCCGCATTGCCCCAGCTGACCAGCCTGAGCCTGTGTGCCTCTGGCCTGGCCAACCTGTGGACCACGTGCGCTGCGCTCGCCCCCCTCACCTCCCTGCGCCAGCTCGCCCTTCAAAGGTACCCCGCGCCGGCCCGCCCCGCACCTGTGCCAGCAAGACATCGTCTTTTTGGGCTTGGCCGGAGCTCATCATGTGCAGCTAGAAGGCGTTCCTGTCAGCGCTACTCCCCTTGCTGCATACTTTCCACCCCTGACCCTGCCTTTGGCTTGCTGCAGGTGTGCCTGCTGTGCCCCCGCCACCACGGCTGCCTGCACTGGCCGCCCCGCCGCTCCCCGCTCTCCGCTTCCGCCTGCCCCTCACCAGCGACCCCTGCCTCTTCAGGTGCGTATCACCAGCCGAGCCATTCGGACTACTGTAGGCAGGCTGAACTTGCCCCCCTTATACCCACAACTTGTCTGCCATGCAATTCGAGACCCTGCGGCCACTGCCCCGCTGGAACCGACGCAATCCTTCTTGATCAGTTGTGTGCGTGCCTCTGCTGCAGTGGGCCACAGCCCTGGCGGATGAGGACAGCTTTGCGGACGACCGCGACTCCCCCGCCTCCCTGCCGCCTCTCTCGGAAGACGACTCCATCCCCATGTGAGGGCCCCCCTTGTACAGCTCCTGCTCCAACCGGAAGCCATCACATCGCCCTCTGAAGCTTGCCTGCTTTGCTGACCAGTTGTCTGATGTTGTGCGCTGACCTCGGTGTGCTCCCTTTTTCGCTGTGCAGGCTGGTGGAGGTGTCGGAGGGCAGCGCTGCGAGCGCGGTGGAGGAGGAGGGCGACGACGGCGAGGTGTACGCCACGCCGCGGCCGTTCCTGTCGCGCCACCTGCTGGACCTCACCGACGCACTGCAGGAGGAAGCGGGGGCCCCCGACGAGCGCTTCTTCACGCCCCTGCTGCGCGCAGAGTCGAGCCTGAGCGGGGACTTCTCTGACAGCGGGGCCAGCAGCCTCACGCTGGGGGCAGCCTGGGATGACCAGGACGCAGCCACGTGCTCAGCGGAAGCGGGGCCGTCGCGGCATGGGGGCTGGAATGACCGGGTCGAGCAGCAGGAGGGCCGGGAGGGCCACGGCGAAGCAATGGAGCATGATGCAGGCCAGGATCGCAGGGGGCACATCGGAGGGGATGACACGAGTGGGGCGCCTGAGCAGGACGCAATGGCAGAAGCAGGGTTCCCGGGGAGTGTGGCGGAGGAGAGAGGGGAGGGCGGGGCGGCCAGCTACGTGGAGGTGTCGCCCATCTGCGCGGAGCAGCAGTACCGCACGTTCATGCTGGTGAGTTACTGGGGGAAAGCACGAGGGGAGGCAACTCGGGCCGCAAGCAATGCTCGCACCGGATGTGGTGTCGGGCAAGACCAGTGCAAGCGAGGGGAAGAGATGCCTGGTAAGTTCTAAACGTTATGCTTTGCTTCCGAAGGAGGTTTTGCATCTCTGGTGGAGCCGTGACTGATGGTGGCGTGGGGGGTGGTGCAGGTGCACCTGCCATCGCTGACGGTGCTGGACAACAAGCGCGTTGCCGCCACAGAGCGAGAACAGGCATCCGCGGTGAGTAGCTCCGGCGTCAAGTGGCAAGCACGAAGTGAGCACTGACTCCAAGTGCTGCCTGCAGTAAACGGGGCACACCACTCTCTTCTGCAAGACAGCCGCCGCCTCTCCTGCTTCACCGCTTCGTTTCAATCCCTGCATGCCTGTCCGGCTGACCCCAAGCTTGCGATTCTGTGTGCAGGCGTACCGGGACCACTTTGCTGGCCCCCCTCCCCAAGACTGCCACTCGGGGCGGGTTCTGGCCGCCATGCGAGGTCGCGAGGTGGGCTCTGGGGGCCGCGGCCCGTCGTGCCTGGCGTTGCGGCGCACGCTGGGCGGGGCGGTGGCGGCGCGCAGCGTGTGGCCGGCCATGGGGGCGCTCAGCGGCGTGGTGGCGCCCGTGGCTGAGGCGGGGCGGCGGTACCGGCCGCGGCAGTTTGAGTACAGCCCGCGCGTGGCGGGGCTCATGGTGCTGGGCACGCTGAGCGGGGAGGTGGTGGTGCTCAACCACGAGACGCAGCAGCTCGTCGGCCGCGTGCACACGGCCGGCGCGCCGCACTCCGTGCTCGGCCTCTCCTGGCTCAACACGCACCCGGCCAAGGTCAGCCTCCAACGCCCGCGCGCACGCAGCTCCAGCGTCCTTGCCTCGTGATTAAAGCTGTCCACTCGCCTACAGTACCAGCTACTAGTCCCCTGTTTTGCTGCTGTGCCGGCGCCCGCTCTTCGCCCGTGCCTGCCTGAGCGAGTGTCTGTATGCAGCTGATTGCCGGGTGTGACAACGGCGCCATCCAGATGATCGACGTCGACAGGATGCGCGCCTCCCTGCTGGCCGCAGCCCGCCGGTGTCCGCGCCTCGCGCAGCCGCTTGCCCCTGACTCCGCCCTAGCTCGCCTGGCCACTGGAGGAGGGACCTACGCCACAGAGGCAGCCACCCAGACGTAAGCTGCGGCCCTCTGCGAATTCCGTCTCCGTGGCCCCCTTCGAAGCCACTGCGAGGCAGCCCGCGTGGGCCCCCTTCTGCGCTCGCAGGCTGTCGCTGTGGCTGCTGCGTCCCTCTTCCGGGCCTTGACCCTGCGCGCGTGTGTTGCTGTGCAGGTACGCCGCGTTTGAGCAGCTGACGTCGGTGCACGTCAACTGCACGGACCAGGTGTTCCTGGCCAGCGGCTACTCCAGCCACATCGGCCTCTACGACATCAACACCGGCAAGCGCGTCCAGACCTTCCAGGTGTGCGTCCGCCCCATTCCGCCCCTCACCCCCCGCCTCTCAGGGCCAAGCGCAGCTCCCATTCGCCCGCCTGCCCGGCGCCCTGCTACGGCTGGTCATGCGGGGGCTGCCCCTCAATGTGCTGCAAGGAGGCTGGCTGCTGATGAGAGAGATGGGTGCTGCTGACGCGAGCGGAATGTTTGCTGATGCTCCCGCATGCTGCTGCTGGTGTGATGCTCGCTCACGCTGTTGCTGATGCGGGCGGTTCGTTGTGCTGCGCAGGACCTGCACCGCGAGCACATCAACGTGCTCAAGTTCGCGCACCACAGCCCCTCCCTCTTCGTCACCTCCTCCTTTGACAAGGACATCAAGGTCAGCGCCGCCGCCTCGCTCGTCGCTGCCCGCTGGGACTTCGTCTGCCATGCACAGGGGCGGCCCCTACCATGGCAGCGAAAGGGGCACAATTGTAATTTGGGAAATCATGCTGAAATGTTAAATTGAGCACATCAACTGTGGGTTCAGCGATCGGACGACCTTTGCCGAAGTGCTCAGAGTAGACTGCCATTGCCGGAGTGCGCAGTGCTGAGCGGGCCCTATTGTACGCAGATGTGGGACCTGCGCATGCCGGCGGTGCGGCCGCTGTACACGGTGCGCAGCAGCAAGGGCAACGTCATGTGCTGCTTCAGCCCCGACGACGCGTTCCTGCTCAGCAGCGCGGTCGACAACGAAGTAAGTGCTCCGCCGCAGTCTTGTTGCCATATCGGTGCACACGAATTTCTGATTTCAACAAGTCCGACACTTGGAGGGTTGCGGGTGGGAGGCTCGTTTGGAGACGTTTTGTCCTCAAAAGCCTTGTCAAACAGACCGGCGTCAAGCATAGTGCTTCAATTGTGGAGAGGGTGTTAAGGTGGTCTTTGGACGGTGTGCTGAGACGGCATTGAGCTGGTGTCCGGTGTCCAACAACGGCCACGTCATGTCGCGTCACCCTTTTCTTCAGGTCCGCCAGCACTGCGCCGCCGACGGCCGGCCGCACCTGACCTTCGACCTGGCGCCTACCGGGTCCACGCACAACTACACGCGCAGGTACGGCGCTCGCACTGACAGATTGATGTGGTTTCAAGACAGGCCAGGGGTCGGGTCCGCAATCCTTTGAGGGTCAACCTCCCCAGCTTCAACTTAGCCAGGCAGAAGCTGCCAACTCGAGACGTGCGAGCGCCTAAAAGGCGGAAGAATCCCACAAAAGCGGGAACAAATGAGGGAATCCAGGCGCCGACGCCCTCAGCTGCTATTTGGGCTGACGCGTTTTGGGACGTGTGTGCAGCTACTATATGAATGGGCGTGACTACATCATCAGTGGCAGCTGCGAGGAGAACGTGGTCCGCCTCTGCTGCGCCAGGACGGGCCGCCGCCTGCGCGATGTGACGCTCGAGGGGCGGGCCATGAAGGGGTCGCTGTATGTGCAGTCGTTGCGGGGGGACCCGTTCCGGGTGAGGAGACAATGCGACTTGCAACGCTTTGTGCCTTCATTGCTTGAATTCGTAGTGTCCATGCTCGTCTTGGTGCTATATTTTCGGGACTGGCAAAATCTCACCCTAAAATGATCTCCTCCTTTTTCTTCTCCAGGATTTCCACTTCTCTGTCCTTGCTGCGTACAATACACCGAATGCAAGGTCCGAGATTGTTAAGGTGAGCCACGTGGCAACGAAGATCACTTGTTGCCCCACATTAAGGTGTGATGCCACCTGTTGGCGCCAGCTTCTATTGCACATCCACATCCCAGAAGAGGTTAGCAACCTAGGGAGGGTAATCTTTCTGCGAAGAATAGTGACATCGTGCAGGAGATTTGTCCAACTTTTACAATGTTACCTTCGAACGAGGATACTAACTAGGATACATGCTTCTTGAGAATCATTGTATCTTGCTTAGCTTCGTTCAAGCATCGCAAGGTCACCAAACAAACCCATCAATGGTTGTCGAATGTAGATTTCATTCCTTGCAGGTCAATCTTCTTTCTAAAGGGGAAGCCAAGGCGGGTAGAATTCACATGGAGATTGATGATGACGTGGCTTTGGGTGCTTGATTGTGCAAACGCAAGCATGTATTGCCCAGCTTTGGTACCTTCTTGACGATGAGCCTTGCCACCTTTGCCACAGAACTACTAACAACTAACTTGGATTGTCTAGATTCTTGTGTTTTATGTAAGTAATTGGATTTGGAAACTGTACCTGCTTGGAACTTGGTGCAACTTTCGTAATCCTGGGTGAGGGAAAAAAATCTCAATACTCATCAGGGTATGCCTTGCATGAAGGGTTGTTTGCGATCATGCAAAGGTAGAAAATCCAGCTGTATTTCACCACACTTATAGCCATTATCACCTATGATCACAGTACTAGCTATACAAGCAAACATGCGATCATGCAAAGTTGAATTAGAGCTACATTTCACCACACTTCTAGCTATTATCATAGTACGAGTAGCTATGCAAGCAAACGTGCAAGTAAATGGTACATAAATGTTTTGTGAGCAGTTCACTTGTAAGCTCACCATTATTGATTGATTGAACGATTTGCGGTCTGTTCGAGGCCACCCTAGGCATGTGGACTATTCTCTTATCTTTCTTCTCATGTCGTTATTCTCCTCTGGATACTTCGATGGATTAAGTTGGCCTCTGAATCGGAGCTTGTATTAGCAGTTTGAAGTTTTTGCCGTTCAAAGGAAAGAGCACGCGAAAATCTACAAGTATTTCATGTACAAGGACGTACACTGCACAATCAATGATGAACTTGCTCTTTTCATACTTCATCCAATTCTAGCATTGCAAAGTTTTACGTGAATTCTACTCCTTGCCATCTTCATGTTTTAGGGTTTTAGGGTTTTAGAGATGCGTTGTCTGGGGAATGAATGATTGAATGATCAAGTTCACACACCGCCATTAGTTGAGACATCGGAGTCTAGCGGCGCTAAAGCTATGTAGTCTGAATGCTATGCTATAAGTAGAGTGACACTCTTAGTCTAGAAGGCTAAATTGATAGCCTAGTAGGCTCCGAGTTGACCGCGGATAAGCAAGTCCAAACTTTTTGTGCAGAATTAAATATCTACGGCTACTATCATAATCTACTATTGAATATACTCATTACGGCGGTTATCTCAACGGATTCAGTGGGGATGTAACGCTATAATCCGCGCGCATTTATAGCCGCCAACAGTTTACTACCGGTCGAACTCCCGTCGACGTCACCTAAGAGATCCCGCTCACAAATGCCCAAATCTCATCGGTTTTTTGGGTTTCAATTTTTGGTATTCCATTCTCTACATGTTGATTTTATTTGCAAATCTGCAAATTGGCGGATCTAGTAGCAGTGCACGCGCACGCTCGCGTTGTTGAAAATGGCGAAAGCCCAGTGAAGTGGATACGAAAAATTGTGCTTTACGACGTCGCAACTTGCTAGGGCAGCCCGGTCGTCGAACTGTGAGTGCGATCCGCATTAAGTACGTTTTCTGGGGCGTAAATATCCGAGATTTCCATATGTGGCGCGAAAAGAGTTTAGGCAACCGAGCTTGCCATATAACACCGTCAGTACAAAATGTTTCAAGCCGCCGCCTTTCTTATACAATGGGTTTGAGTAGATTGCATGTCTTATTTGAGCCGGCGCAATGGTCGCAAGCCGTTTGATACTAGTTTCATTCATGTGACCAATTATGTGAGTCGTAGGCCGTACGATCTGCTCTGCCTACCCGGCCCGACTAGATACTCGACGGGCAATCGGGTCCGTTCGATAAGTGAATTCGCAAATGCCATGCTTGTCCGCAGCACTAGTGCTACACGTATTAGGTTTGTATCACGGTCACACCATACGTCGTAATGGTATTGTGATGGAAAAAGAAAATACTCGGACTGTGGAAATGATGGAAAACAAAATAAAACCCTAAAAATAAGCCGGGAGCGAAATACGTAACCTCTGCGTCCGTTAAGAGACGCAGAAGTTCTAAGCTTATTTCACCTCAAGGTTCTATAGTTTGCCCGCTCATCTACTTCAAATCTCTCATAAAGTCTGTACACTAGGTCGGACGACGAAGAAGGCTACGTCTGCGGACGAGCCGCCTTGGACGCGGCAGCGGAAGGCCTCTAGGAAATTGTGGACAGCAGAACCAGCGGAGGGTGTGAAGTGGCTCCATCATATTCAGTCCGCGGGCTGAGTAAATGCTTGCAGGTTGTTGAGATACGGGCATCTACGGACCGAATCTCTCGATGATTCTAGGGTTTTAGAAACGACGTCGACGGTAACGACGTCGACGTTGACGTCGACGGCAATTCGACGGTAACTAGCACTTACGGAAGTACACGTCAAACTTTGTGCGCGGGTTACAGCCTTACACCCGAATGACTTGGCGATAATCGTAGGTTTCATAATAGCCGTTAATGTACGAAAAAAGTGAAAATTTTGGACGTACTAGGTGACGGTCCACTGAGCTTACTAGGCTAGAGTGTAGACCTAGACTCAAGGCCGTGACTCAGAACTTTCCATATGAGTCGTGTGAATATCACTTCAACAATGCAATGTTTCAACAGATTATGGGCCCACGGCGTAGAGAAAAAGGACGCTAAGGTGCTCTCCGTGGCGCAACAACGTTGGTAAGGAAACGGTCTCTTTCACTTGTAGCCATTGAGTAGGCGACACGCGGAATCCGCATGGAAGGAAACCACGTTCCGTCACTGAGGAGAAGGGGCAAAACGCGGTGCAAATCATGCAGCCTATGGTTCTCTCTTGTCAATGAAGGCATCGGTGGAAGCAGTCTGCTATATTACGGGTGCTCTTTGAGCCAAGTGACCGTACTTAAAAGCCCCAGAAGGGGGATCAAATGGGGGGGGAAGCCTAAACGTAAATTTTCCACCTTTGGCTTCGAGAAAGAGAAAAAAGGAAAACAAACCCTAAATTGACTGACGGACAGTGTTTCCCCTAATTAGTTTTATTGCTGGCCGCCGGGCCGGCCGGGGTCTGAGTTTGTCGGCCCGTTGGGCCGGGCCGTGGTCGCCATTGCCAGCCCAAGTTCCGGCGAAATGTATGGAATTTCTGCGCATACACCCCATATATTCGACTTTTTCAATATCTGCTTCAGTTTCGCAGTCTTTCATAAGTCTCTAGCTATATCTACGTGTGAAATTTTTGACCAACTTCCTACCTGTCCTACCGAGGGGTTCAATTTGGGCTAGTTTTGGCCATAGTCCCCAGGGGATGGTCAATCAAAATTTTAAAATCTCCTGAAATCCTGATCATTGTACACAATGAGTACGATGACAGGGCCGGCTATGAACTTTCATCGCCGGCCCAAAAGGCCGGCCCGGGCCCCGCAATGCCGGCCGGATGGGCCGGAGGCCGGCCCCCATTGCCGGCGCGGTTTGACCATTGCCGGCCAATTTACCAGAGAGTGGGCCGGCAGGGGAAACACTGCTGACGGGTTCAAAATCCACATTGACAAGCTTGACGTAGACAACTACATCAATTGGAGTCATGTGATCAACTTTTTGTTAACGTCCAAGGATCTATGGGACGGAGTGACGGATCCCGAGGAGCATGCAGAGTCAGATCAACGATCAAGCGTTGTCCGTCATCAATTGGGCTGAACGTTGAGTCCATCATTTGAGGACGATTGAGGCGTGCAAGAGTGCAAAGGAGGTTTGGGATCTCCTTGAGAAGATCTATAAGAACAAATCCAATGCAAGGAACTTAATGCAGCTCAGGCAAGAGTTGCATTCTCTCAAGAGATGAAGTCGGGTGAGCCCGTGATACATGGCTTGGGCAAAGGATTTGTTTGGGAACTTGACAGCTACCGGGTTCAAGCTGAAGCCGGATGAGCTGGCTTGAAGCGTGCTTGCGGGGTTGCCGAGCTCGTTCAGTACCCTAAGAACAATTTTAAAGGCTTTGGAGGGCGGCTTGAGCTCGGTGGATGCGATTTTGCCGCAAGCTCTTGGTGCATGAGCAAGGGTTTCGGTTGCCCAAGGAATAGGGCGGTGGTGGGTCGGACTCTTTGTGGCTTATGTCCCCCAGCAGAAAGGGAGCAAGGAGAAGAGCCACGGCAAGGATAAGAGCCGGAGCAAGGGGCCTAAGTGCTACAATTGCGGTGTGTTTGATGAACTTTGATCATGTTGCCCGGAAGTGCAGCAAGCAGGATAGGCGGGAGCTCAAACTGGAGCAAAGAAGGGAACCCTTCCAAGGGAGTGGCTTTCAGCGTGATTGAGGGGCTAGCTGCCGACAAGTGGCTCGTCGAGAGTCAGGTAGCTACTAGTACCTAACCAAGGACAAGAGCCTATTTGAAACCCTCGAGATGTTCCAGGGGGAGTGGCCGAGAATTACGTCTGAGGACAAGGGAAGCTTGTGGGCAGAGGGGATCGGCTCGATTGAGTTGTTGTGTGCGACACCGACGAGAGACTGTTTGCTCATTTGTGACGGTTGGACAGGGTCACACGCTGCC